CGTACGTTCCTGCAAACGAGTATCAGAGACCACGTAGGCTACGCACCATTCAATATGTTTGAATGAATTAGCATATGTTAATATCAATTGTTTATAAGAAGGCAACATTACCCCTACCTTATTAATTTTGTTCATATTCGAATCATATTACTATCGTAAATTTATACAACAACATACGGAATAATTTATGAACGATAATTACAACTATGTCCCTGCAAAATCATAAAATAAAAACCACCAAATGTGATATTTATTTAACGTATATATCAAAGGAGCTGCTATGTGATAGTCAATTGCGTTTGTGGGGAGTTTATCGGGTTAGTGCTCAAGTATGAGGCTTAACTCAGATAGTGTGTGGCACTGAAAACACGGCAAGTTGTAGGACCTGTGAATCCTGTGCGGTTTCCGGCGTGTTACATGGCGCCCAAGGCTAATATGTTTCAATCATGAGTGATGTATGGCACCCATATAACTATGAGTGGTGTATATTTAGCGCCCATCATTATTTCATCTCGCTATGGGTGGTCCATGACATCCAAAGTTGAAAATGTAATTCAGTCAGAGTGGTGCTGGGGTCGAACAACCAATATTGCGTGCAAGCAACACTTGCAAAAGCGCAACGTAAGTCAGAAATGACACAAAGTGTGCTTCTGTGTATTAACATGTGTCCCAGGATATACGTGGTAATATATACACTGTGTGCATATAAGATCATAGAATATGAGAACTGAAATTCGTGCCTGAATTTTGTACCATAGATTTCTTATAAAAGCTGAAGTACCTTGGTATCTAGTGTCGTATAAAACACGCTTGTATCAGTCAAACTATATGTAAGCGTGGTGTCTGTATGAACATTAGTTTTCTAAATTCGTACACGAATTTTGTAATAATGGATACACTGCAATACTGATATTTGCAGAGCGAGTATGATATACAAGTACAAAAAGTTGTAGTGTACATGTTCCTCATATGTCGTACTAGCATATTTTAACACGCCAACTGTACGATGTACTTTTCTTCCTTTCTTATGTTTTATGATTGTCTGATCAGATAGATGATAAGTTCCCAACTTTGCATATTGTAGCATTTAGAACCCAGATAATCAAAAAGCCAATCCAAATCTTAAAATCCAGAATCACCAAATATTGAGTTTTGGAATAAGGATTCAAATATTCTTGATTTTGGAGTCATCCGAAATACTAGCCGTAGAACCCGTAAGCTATATCGGGACTCCGTGTGTGAGAGAAAGACTCAAGTAGAACCCTGAGTCTATTAGTAAACACATATAAAGACTCGGTTCGGTTCTCTCAGACTAGGGACTTTCCTAGATGAGATAATCACATTTGGGAGGAGTTCTATTGTATCCTTTGGCTCGTACCTTTCAGCTACTCTTCATACTCTTCATTTTTTATAATATCCGTATAGATAAGTTAACAGGCTCAGTTACACAACCAGTCATCACAACAGACAACGAGGGTTGAAGATAGAAGCTTAGCGAATAAAATAATTTGGAAAAGAACTTTATTCGTATATAAGCAATTTTTTAGTAGAAGACTAAGCACGCAGGAAGGACTGAGGCTCAAGAATTAATCACAAGGGTTTCACAAGTGGATCAGACAATAACTCCGGGGAATACATTACTCCCGTGCTGGACGTGAAAGAGAACTCCAGTGCAAAAGAGGACGACCTAGAAGGTTAAGAAGAATCCAAGGAATAACCGAGACGAATTCCTTAAAAGTAATTCTGTGATTCAGTGTGATTTATATCTCAAGCTGTCAAGTTGCGTAATTCATCAATGTTGAGGGGTCAAAAATTTAGAAAATTGTCAATCAACAGAGGTTGAGGTAGAAAAGGGCACCCAAGTATCCAACAACAATAGACAGCAGATAGCGAGGGCACGAGGTGTGCTATCTCGTAGAAGAATCCAAGAACCTAGAACAAACAACAATGTTAGCTTGGTTAATAATTTGTTTAACACAAGACGTGAAGAGCAAAATAGTGGACGAACTTTAGCCTAGGAATAAGGCTTGGATTCCAAGCATTCAAGAATCTTTAACACATATAGTGCACACAAAAGATATACTTAAGTGAAATATCCACGCAGGACACACCAAACATTAGTCTACAAGAACGCGGCAACAAGGTATACAAGAGATGAGAAGTCTAGGGATCCAAATTGCAAGTAGACACGGTCAGACAAGAGAGGTAGCAATCAACTACCAGTCAGTGACTACAATAGGTAATCATAGCAGACAAGGAACTAGCAGTAATGCTTTTCATATCACATAAACTTGAGGTAAGGAATATAAGACAAACATATTATCACGAAGAGTCCCACAAAGGTGAGCATCTATTGCTGGGTCAAGCAAGAGTTCAGCTGAAATCGATTTAACAAACACGAAAGTAATATACGAATCATCAAACAAGATCTCGAGAACAATTTAGTTCTCACAAAGCATACCTGAACCTGTAAGAGGGCAATCCCGTACAAGCAGACCAAGTGCGCAAAGGGCTTAAACCGATCAATGGAAAGGAAGTCAGCCAAATAATAAAAGGTTAGAGATATGTAGTTCGATGCATGCAAGAACATTTGAATTGAGTACATGTAAGTTCAGCTGAAATCGCTTCAACGAACACAAAAGTACTGCACGAATCATCAAACAAGATCTCGCAATTTAGTTTTCACAAAGAGACACACACCTAAACCTGTAAGAGGGCAATCCCGTACAAGCAGATCAAGTGCGCAAAGGGCTTTAAACGATCAATGGAAAGAAAGTCAGCCAAATAATAAAGGGTTAGAGATATGTAGTTCGATGCATGCAAGAACATTTGAATTGAGTATAGGCAGGTAAGACTAAAATGAGTATACACAAGATTCCAAACACAAGTATCATAACATACACCTTAAGAACACGTACGATCTATTTGAGTGCATACACTATACAATATATATGCGTATAATAATACATGGGACAGGAATAGAAGCAAGATCTAATTGACTAGCCATATTACATAAAAGGGGGTCCATAGCAATTAGCAGTAGCCCACACACATACAAATCACAAGGTAACAAAAGGCAAGGGGTCTTACCAAGAAAACCACATACACATCTGCTAATCTCAAACGAGAAGTTATAATAATTACACACAACAAGCCCGATCGAATACGCAAAGCACTTAAAATAAGATCAAGAATGGTATATGCAGGGTTTTCCAACACACATGCGCAAGTAGTCAAATAAGTTAGAAAACTCTAAAGCAGCCAATGAACAATCGTCCACACAAAAAGGTTACATGAGATTAGAAGCAAAGAATCTACTCAAAGCCAAGAAAGATCACACCATTGAGATTACAGGACACACGTGAACAGCCCTACAGGTAATGAGATCCAAGTGACAAATAAACACTGTGAATATATACCCATATGACCAGAAAGCACACGACTAGCATAGTATACAGAGACAGAGTCTGAATAGTGATGGTCACAAGACAAAGACAGAATAAGAATAAACACCTGCAAGTACAACACTCAACTCAATTTAAAAACAGTGAAGTTCGGTACAGGACCAAACATCTCAGGTGATATCAACATCAGAGAGAGACGAGATATAAGACTGAACATCCCAGGTGACATCGCCACCACAGTAGTTCGGTACAGGACCGAACATCACTGGTGACGTCAAGAAACCCGAACTTCCTCGGTGACGTCAAGAAGACCGAACTTCATAGGTGACGTCACTAGGACCGAACATCTTGCTAAAACTACACCTGACAAAATAAGCACAAGTAAAGTCACACTTGACGAAATAAGCTGAACCAAGAAACACCATTCACACCTCCACAATCAAAGGAAGGAGAACAACAAGTTAATGTACAACACAGAACGGTAAACACTTCCCACGGAAGTACAGCAAAGCGTGACCACAACAAAAGTAAGTGAAATAATTTATTTTTTATTTGTTTTCATACAAGTTAATAGCAAAGACAATGGGGATGAAGCGCCTATTCACAGTTAATATATCCCGAGTCTTTACTATTAACCTGCAATACTTATACACCCAATCAATCACCTCAAGATGCCAACAGCAACCAGAGCAGGCGTGTATGAAGGTGAAGGGGGAGGCACTAGCGCAGATGGTGCGGGTGACAGCCCAGTAGGAGGACAAATCCAGGCAGTGGCTCAAGCCAATCAACACCTGCTGGGGTGCCCATACAGTCATCAGCCATGCGTCTATAAATAGGCAAGAGCATTTGTCAAGGCAACTTTGTCCTGGCTAGTAGGTTTGAAAATAAATTAGAACAAACAGTACCAGTAAACACCGCGAGTCTACACAAGATAGAGTAGGCATTCATGACCAGCAACCAGAACGTCGCATGCCATTGGTAGATGCGGAATTCAGAAAGGGATACGATCAAGCTATCAATGACTGCGGTGACGATGAGGAGGATGAAGTAATTGAAATCAATCAGTACATCAGCGAGTTAGAGCTCATGCCTTCACGCTTCGGTGATAGGGTTAATGAACCTGCATTATCGAAACTGCTAATGACCTCAAATTTTTTTTTTTGAAGTTACCAAGAGATATTCAGAAACACATATCACAAAGTAATACAAGGATCCTGAGCAATTCAAAAAAACTGTTTTTGACAGACTCAGACACCGTCCGGTAGGCTATCTGTTAGATAAATTTCTCAATGACTCGGAGAACAAGGCACTGTGTAGCGTAGTGGTACGCACAGAGCGATTGCATAGAACGGTGCAAGAGTTAGGGGAGCTTTATCGAAACACGGACAAAGAGCCCATACACACGCAAATCCCCAAGGTAGTGAAATACCAGGCCCTCATGTAATATGTACACAGCAAGGAAAAGTGGACGCAATCATCAAAGCAGACAAACTGCCTGATGGAAGTGACGGGCACTTATCAGATATGAAACATACTGTGTTCCATTCTCTTACTGAAGCAACCATGAGAGCAGCAGCCAAGGTATAGGCAGACCCTATGTACAGAGAGCGCAAGAGATATAATTCTCACGCGGCCACGCACAGCCAGCCTCAGAATGCCACCACCAATACAATCAGACGTCACAAACCAGACAATGGCGCACCGAAACAAACCAAACCAATAAGACAACCCCAAGAGAAGAAAGGGGTGAGAATATGTGCATGTCCTTATTGTAATGTGTCACCAACCCCACATTGTTTTAGTCAATGTCCCATGAAGGTATCAAATCAGAACAAGAAGGTGGAGGAGCATGTCCAGAACGATATGCAAGTAGCTAGACTATCCATTACATCCGGGAAGGTGGAAGAGACAACAGATAGCGATGAGTCCTAAAACAACTGGTGGGCGGAAGCAAACATGATTGACCTGGCTGACAGGCTAAATGTAAATAGAGACGAAGAAACGTTGTTAATAAATACAAATGATATAAATTAACAACCTTATCCTTACTTCTCGCACCACGAGACCAAAGATTACACATTGACATACAAATCAATGGCAACACATACAACGCCCTGGTAGACCCGGAGCACAACGCTCATGTATGGACAAAAGTATAGTAACTGAGAGCTAAATCTATCAGTCAGAGAACAGCCGGGTTACATACAACTAGCACAAACAGATGCTAGGATACAAAAAACAGGCCCAACCCAAGTATGTGACATTAGCTATGGAAGCAGAAAAACCTCTCAGTGTTTTGGAGTTTTGTACCTACCAGACAAGAAGGCACCAATACTTCTAGGTATGGACATACTTCCATACATAGGTATATACATAGCAGGATAAAAACAATTGACCTATTACAACAGATGCGAAATGGGAATCACTACTTTACTTACTTCCCCAGAGTATGAACAAGAAGGTTTCAGAGAGTCACTTGCAGACCTCTTAGATAACAACGCGAACACACCTCCTGACGTACATTGCAACCTATCAGGCTCTACAGTCACAGTACCTGCAAATAAAATTAATGTCAGTCAAATGAGGCTGCCAAAGTCACTTTGTACCGCACAAGTATATACCGCAAATAGATGAAAACGTGAAGAGGTGGCTTACAGGTGATCACATATACAAACGAACTACACCAACAACGGTGAACTACCTTTGTTATTAAAGGGTGCACATGACCAAATAAATGTCTTCAAGAAAGTCAGAACATGTTACCAGGCTCTACAGTCACAGTACCTGCAAACAAAATTAATGTCAGTCAAATGAGGCTGCCAAAGTCAACTTTGTTCTGCACAAGTATATCCCGCAAATGGATGAAAACGTGAAGAGGTAGCTTACAGGTGGTCACATATACAAACGAACTACACCAACAATGGTGAACTACCTTTGTTATTAAAGGGTGCACATGACCAAATATATGTCTTCAAGAAAGTCATAATATGTTACCAGGCTCTACAGCCACAGTACCTGCAAACAAAATTCATGTCAGACAAATGAGGCTGCCAAAGTCAACTTTGTACAGCACAAGTATATCCCGCAAACGGATGAACACATGAAGAGGTGGCTTACAGGTGGTCACATATACAAACGAACTACACCAACAACGGTGAACTTACCACTGTTATCAAAGAGTGCACATGACCAAATATATGTTCTCAAGAAAGTAAGAACATGTTTAAACTTATGTGAGATCAAATACCAATATGAACAACATGAATGCGTGCTACCAAAAATAAAGGAAGTACTACACAACCTACAAGGAACACGATACTTCTCAAAGATAGATCTCACGGGTGGGTTTCACTATTTCTTAGTAGACGAAGCAAGCCAACACCTCTTCACGTTATCTTGGAGAGGAGCGCAATACTCATTCAAGTCAGCGCCATTTGGCCTACACTCACTCACTGTACAATTTCAGATAGTCATTGCAAACTTGTTCATAGATATCGAATGAGTGCAAGTGTATGTAGATGACATAGTCATTGCAAGTCTTACAGAAGAAAACACCGCAAGACATTTCGTGGAGTAATCAAACGGTTGAATGGAGCAAATTTCCGACTCGATCACAACAAGTGTGTCTTCGAGGTCAAAGTGGTCAACACTCTAGGTGTGAAAGTCACCACACAAGGATTCAAAGCGGATCCTGAAAAAACCACAGAAAAGAATGATGAACTGGCCACTACCCAGAACGAAACGAGATCTGCACCAAGCGGTGGAACTCGCGAACTATATGCGCGACCATGTCGCCAACTTTGCCCACACAAATAAACAATTGCGGAACATAATGAAAGGAAAAATAAACAAGAACATATCCATATTATAGACACCGAAACTCAAAAAGAAATTGGAAGAATTCGAAGAAGCCATCGCATGTTCAGCGACACTAGCTTACCTTGTTGATAGGGTACCGTTCCAAATTATGAACGATGCTAGTGACTTCGGCATATGAGGATGTTTATTTCAAGTCATCGATGGAGTCAGAAGAGCTATTCTCTCCAAAAGCTTGAACCCAGCCCAACAAAGCTATGGCACAAACACGAAAGAGCTACTAGAACTGGTATACAACCTGGAACATTTCTCTGAGTACATCAATGGAAAGAACATAACGTTGTGGACAGATCATAAATCGCTCACGCAAATGAACAATCAACAGACGTTACACCCAATGCTAGCCAAATGCATTCCCCCACCACTTCTCCATCATACATGTCCCAGGGAAGGACGACCAGATGGCAAATATGTTGTTGCGTCTACGCGAAGACACATTAATACTAAAAGTCCGAAGCATTACAAGACGCGAACAAAACAACACACAGCAGCCAAAAGTATACCACCTTGGAAAGAAACATGCCCATAACCATATCAGCTATAGCCTGGATGGTACACCCCAGATTCTACAAAGAAGCTTAAAGACGGTTTGGGAAATTCACAGTAGATTTGATTGTATCAGCACACAATGCACACACAGATAAATACTATACCAAAGAACAGAATGTGCCCTACAGAGTGGGCACAGGAAAAGAATGCATGGGCGAACCCACCATGGGAACTCATACCTGATGTCCTTGACAAAGTCATTGAAGAGGCAACCAGCATCACGATATTTGTACCATACTACCCCTGATGCAACGTGGTTTCCAAAATTCTTGTCTTTACTAGTAGAATACCCGATGCTAGTGGGAAACACAAATAATACGTTCCTTAAAGAAGGTACGAAAGCATGTGGCAAGACCCCATGGCGTGTCACATTGGTCGCAAAGATAGGAGTGAAACCTCCACACGTTGACTCAACGCAGGAACAACCTGTCATACACATTTCAGCACCACAAACAGTTAACTCTGGAGATGCATCACCTGAAACAGAATACGAGACACGTGTCAACATTATCGAACAATACCACAACCTGGGATATTATACCGCTGAGAAAATGGTCAACATGTTGCAAGCTGATACATGGACGTGATTGGCCACAAATCCAACAAGAAGAATGCGTACTATGTTTCAAAAATGATACACAAAAAGGAATTCCATCCCTTTCAATCAATCCCAGCCACATTTCCATGCGACAGAGTCCAAGTGAATACTATTGGGCCACTACTGGACTCAACAGAGGACACACATATGTGTTAGTATGGTTATATGTGCACTCATCATATGTTATACTCAAACTAATGGTGGACAAATCAGCGACTATTGTAGCACGTACGCTGGCACCAACCATGTGTGAGCATGGGTTCCACTGAATATGCTATTGACATATTTTCAAAAGTCGTTTAACAAGCGCCGACACAACACCTGTTCTCTCGCCCGTACCAACCTAAAGTCTTAGGTGCGAACGAGTGATCACATAGAGACCACATGCCACTGTTACAGAATTTCGTTGAACAAAACCCAGGTAACTGGTGTTTACGACTTCCCTTTGTACATTTGGGCCACAATCTGTGCACCTCAAGAAGATATAAGTCACCGAGATTTAATGTGTACTTCGGTCGCAGACGGAATCAATTCTAGGACTACAACACACCAGTGACCGCACCCAGTATAACAGCATCATGGGAAGAGTAACTGAAGAGTCTAGAAAAAGGCAATCAGGCCACAACTAGATTCTAATACTGCGCAATATCAAGAGAAGATGCGCGAAGCATATGACCAAAAATACCAAAAGAAGTATATACACTTCCAGGAAGGGGACATTGTCATGGTCCGCTATCAAGGTTAAATGAACAAGATGACAGCACTATATGATGTACAATACAAAATAGTATGCAGGGAGGACAACAGGTATTTTGTCTGTGACCTTGGTGGGACTGAAGCCACCGAATATCCTAACTCGGTCAGTGATGAGCCGGAAGCATTTACTTCCAACAATCACGTACAACCAACCGAGGAGACTCAGTTCTCCTCGATAGATACTATGAGTACCTATTGCATGGGACAGATGGGGAGCGTACCTGGACGCATGAATCAGACATCGCAGATGCTGATGTTCATACATTATACTGTGAACGCACTCGACGCACACGAAGGCGATCATGGCTTTCACTGTAGAGTATGGAGAGTAGCTGAAAGGTACGAGACAATTGGATACAATAGACCTCTTCTCAAGTACGGTTATATCAGCTAGGAAAAGTCCCTAGTCTGAGAGAACCGAGCTGAGTCTTTATTTGTGTTTTCACTAGACTCAGGGGCTACTTGAGTGTTTTCTCACACGCGGGAGTCCCGGTATATCTGACCGGTTCTACCAATAATATTTCTGATGACTCTAATATCAGAAATATTCCAATCCTAATTCCAAAACTCAGTATTTGATTATTCTGGGTTTTGGGATTTGGATTGGCTTTTTTATAATCTGGTCCCTAGATGCTACAGCCCCCAAACCTTGTGCTTCTTAGCCTGCGTAGGAGTAGAAAGTGACATCTTACAGTACTAGATTATCTAGAGGTTGGTGTTTATATACAGGAAAAAACTTGTCCCTTAGGGGGCATAAGATGAAAAACCTGCCACCATTATCTATTACATATTACCGATTATTTAAATTTATACTATAGCAGGAATCCTCTACCTCGCTCATCGGAGTCAGTCTTGATCGGTGCTCTCGGTTGATTTCAACTTGGCTTAGGAAAACGTATCTCAATGGTGGCTCTCAGCCGAGTCTCTGGTCCTAGTCCTTCTGGTGTGTGGGGGGAGCATGCTTCTAGGCGAGAAAAATGGGAGTGTCCTGTGGTATCAGTGACGTGCTTAGGTCCCCCGCCTCGTGCGTTGTCTGTGCCTCGCTGATCTTTCAGCAGTTCTCGTTGTCGCTGGCTTCTTTGGCCTTGACTGCCTTCTTTTACGTCTTCGACGTTAACGGTTTGTTGTTATGACATCAGCATCTGCGATGTCTGATTCATGCGTCCAGGTACGCTCATCATCTGTCCATTGCAGTAGTTACTCCAGGGATCCATCACCTCGGATGGACGGCCTGTCGTCGACTATCGACAAGAACTGAGTCTCTTCGGTTGGTTGTACGTGATTGTTGGAAGTGAATGCTTCCGGAGCACTGGCCCTTTTTATGAGGCCAAGTAGCTCATCACTGATCGAGTCAGGATGTTCGGGGACTTTAGTCCTATCAAGGCTACAAACAAAATACCCGTTGCCCTCCTTGCATACTATTTTGTAGGGTCCGCCATTTGGTGCTGTTAACTTGTTCATTTCACCTTGATAGCGGACCCTGACAAGGTCCCCTTCCTGGAAGTTCACATACATCTGTTGGTATTTTCGATAGTATGCTGCTCGCATCTTCTCTTGATACTGTGCAACATTGCTCTTTAGTTGTGGCCTAACGGCTGCTTCTGGATTTTGCAGTCGCTCTTCCCAAGATACTGTTGTACTGGGTGCGGTCACTGGCTCATTGTAGTCAGTAAGTTGATTTTGTCTGCGACCAAAGTATACATTAAAGCGTGGAGACTTGTGTCTTCTGGATGTACGCAGATTATGGCCCATCTGTACGAATGGAAGTCGTGAACACCAGTTACCTGGATTCTGTTCAACGAACTTCTGTAACAGTGGCATGAGGTCTCTATAAGATCGTTCGTTCGCGTCTAAGACTTTAGGTTGATACGGCCGAGAGACTAAGTGTTGCATTGGCGCTTGTTCAACAACTTTCGAGAGTATGCTGATAACATATTCCGTGCCTTGATCCGTTTGTATGATTTGTGGGAATCCATGTTCACACATAATTGGTACCAGTGTGCGTGCTATAGTAGCCGCGGATTTGTTCATCACTGGACGTAAAATGACGTATGATGAGTATACGTCAAGGTATACTATCACGTATGTGTGTCCTCTATTGGAATCCAATAGAGACCCTATGGTGTCCACTTGGACTCTGTCGCTTGGATATGCGACTGTAATTGATTGTAAGGGGTGAAATCCCTTCTTGTGTATTTTATTTTTGAGACATGGTATACATCCGTCAATGAACTTGTGTACATGGTGTTGGATGTCAGCCCAGTGATGTCCATCTGTTTGCAACTTGTGTACTGTCTCCTCTAATGTCCCAAGTTGTGGTATTGCTCAATGATGTTGACATGTGTCTCATATTCTAATGCCTGGGGTGCGTCTCCAGTGTGAACTGGTTCTGACGCTGCAACGTGTATGGCGGGTTGTTCCCGCGTTGAATCGAAGTATGGAGACTTAGCTCATATCTTTGCGACTAATGTGACACCCCATGGGGTCTTGCCGCAAGCTTTCTTGCCCTCTGTGAGGAACGTGTTGTTAAATTTTTCCACTAGCATCGGGTCTTCTGCTAGTAAAGACAAAAAATTTGGAACCCACGAGGCATTGGGGTAGTATGGTACACATATCGTGATGCTAGTTGTCACTTCAATGACTTTGTCAAGGACATTAGGTATGAGTCCCCATGATGGATTCGCCCATACATTAACTTCTTGCGACCATTTTTGTTTTAGCGCATTCTGTTCTTTGGTGTAGTATTTATCTGTGTGCGCATTGTGTGCTGATGCAAACAGATCTACTGTGAACTTCCCAGACCCTCGTTCCGCTTATTGGTAGAATCTGGGATGTAACATATAGTCTATAGCCGAGATGGTTATGGGCATGTTCGTTTCCAAGGTGGTGTACTCTTGGCTATTATGTGTTGCCTCATTCGCATGTTGTAATACTTTTGACTCTTTGTTACTAAAAGTATCTTCATGTAGACGTGACAACATATCTGCCATCTGGTTGTCCTTGCCTGAGACATGTATGATGGAGAAGTGGTGGTGGAACGTTTTTGTTATCCACTTGGCTAGCATTGGGTGTAACGTCTGTTGACTGTGCATTTGCGTGAGCGCTTTGTGATCTGTCCACAGTGTTATGTCCCCCCCCTTTGATATATTCGGAGAAATGTTCCAGGCTATATACCAGTGCTAGTAGCTCTTTGGTATTTGTGCCATAGCGTTGTTGTGCTGGATTCAAGCCTTCTGAGAAGTAGAGAATGTCTCTTCTGACTCCATCAATGACTTGGAATAAACGCCCTCCTATGCCATAGTCACTAGCATCGTTCATAATTTTGAACGGTACCCCATCAACAGGGTATGCTAGCGTCGCTGAACAAGCAATGGCTTCTTTGAGTTCTTCCCACTTCTTGATTAGTTTCGGTGTCCATAACATGGATGTGTTCTGGTTCATTTTTTCTTTCATTAGGTTCCGAAAGTGTTTCGTTGTGTGGGCAAAGTTGGGGACATGGTCTCGCATGTAATTTGCTAGTCCCACTGTTTTGTGCAGATCTCTTTTTGTTCTGGGTAGTGGCCAGTCCATCATTCTTTTCTGTTTCTCAGGGTTTGCTTTGAGGTCCTGTGTGGTGACTTTCACCTCAAGAATGTTGACCACTTTGACCGCAGAGGCACACTTGTTGTGATTGAGTCGGAAGTTCGTGCTGTTTAGTCGTTTGATTACTTCGCGAACTGTCTTGCGGTGTTCTTCTTCTGTAAAACTCGCAATGACTATGTCATCTACATACACTTGCACTCCTTTGATATCTATGAGCAGATTTGCCATGACTCTCAGGAATTGTGATGTGAGTGAGTGTAGTCCAAACGGCGCCGACTTGAACGAGTATTGCGCTCCTCTCCACGAGAACGTGAAGAAGTGTTGGCTTGCTTCGTCTACTAGGAAGTGGCGAAACCCGCCTGTGAGATCGAGCTTTGAAAAAAACTGCGCCCCTTGTTGGTTGCGTAACACTTCCTTTATTTTTGGTAGCACAAACGTGTCTTGTTCATATTGGTAATTGATCTCACGTAAGTCTAGACAGGTCCTGACCTTTTTTGAGTAGACCTGTTTAGTCATGTTCACCTGTTGATAACAACGGTAGGTTCACCGTTGTTGGCTTGTCGCGTTTGTATATATGGCCATCGTGAAGCCATCGTTGCACATTCTCATCTGTTTGTGGAATGTATTTGTGCGGAACAAAGTTGACTTTAGCGTGCCTCATTTGTCTGAATTTGATTTAATTTGCAGGTACTGTGACTGTAGAGCCTGGTAGGTTGCAGTGAACGTCAGGAGGTGTATTCGCGTTGGTGTCCAGGAGGTCTGTAAGTGACTCTCTGAAACCTTCTTGTTCATACTCTGGGTCCTCTTCATGTGGTGTGAGGAGCGATTCCCATTTTGCATCTGTTGGTATTAGTGGATTGATTAAACCCGCTATATACATACCTATGTATGGTAGAATATCCATACCTAGAAGTATTGGTGTTTTCTTTTCAGGCAAGTCCAATACTTCAAAACACTGAGAGGTCTTTCTGCCTCCGTAGGTAATGTCGCAAACTTCTGTTGATCCAGTGCGTTGTATTCTTGCATCTGTTGGTGCTAGTTGTATGTAACCCAGTTGCGCTCTGACAGAAAGATATAGTTCTGATCCTACAGTTTTGTCCATACATGAGCGTTGTGCGCCAGAGTCTACTAGTGCATTGTATGTGTTACCATTAATTTGTATGTCAATATATAACCGTTGGTCTCGTGGTGCAGGAAGTAACGATAAAGGTTGATAATTTATATCATTTGCATTTATTAACAACGTTTCTTCATATGTAAATCCATTGAGTCTGTCAGCCAGGTCAATCATGTTTGCTTCCCCCCGCCAGTGATTTCAGTGTTCATCACCTTCAGTGATGTCGTCCACCTTGCCAGATGTGATAGACAGTCTTGCTATCTGCACATCTTTCTTGGCTTGTTGCGCAGCCTTCTTAGCTTGATTTGCTTTCTTCTCAAGACATTCGCTGTACCGATGTGGGAATGGCGATTCATGACAGTAGGGGCATGCACGCTCTTCACATGCTCATTTCTTTTTCTGTGTCTGGCCCCCTTGCTTGTGCTGGTTGTGCGTACCACTGTCTGTCCTGTGACGTTTGTTAGCGTTCATAGAGTTATCCTCCACCTGCGTGTTCGCCTGCGTATTGTTGCGTTTATTTGCATTGTTTGCAGCTCGCGTCTGATCCCTCAACATACGCTCAGCTTGTGTCACTGACGCTATTCGTATGTGTGTCTTAGTCATATTATGAAGCTTGGCATGTTCGATGTCAGACAAGTGTCCCTCACTTCCATCAGGTTACTTGTCTCCTTTGATTAGGATGTCCACTACTGATTGTAGTCCATGGTACTTCAGTGCTAAGTATTTTTGTACTTTGAGGGTTTGGAAGTGTATGGGTTCCTTGTCTGAGTTGCGATAACAAGCTCGGTGCGCACTTCAACATTCATCTTCTTATTCTGTATGTCATTGATAAACTTATCCAATAGATAGTCTACTGGGTGCGATCTGAGTCGATCAATAATGATTCTATTGAACTGCTCAGGATCAGTGAAGTGCCTGGTTGTTTGTGTCTCAGAGTCTCTTATGATATTGAGAACTGCTTTGGTTTCTCCGTTGCGTCAGTGGAGTCTAATAGTCTTCTCACTAGTGCTGGATACTGACACAATGGCATTGACGTTGCTAAGAATAGATCACTACATTGTGTAGTGAACTCTATGATATCCTCACAATTCTCTAATCTATAGAAACTTTCCTTCGGCATTTTAGGAAACTCTGAAGTTTTGAGTAATTTCTTAAGAGAGGGTTCATTTATCTGGTCGCCTAACCGGGAACGCATGAGCTCTAGCTCACTAATGCACAGACTGATTTGAATAAGCTTGTCTTCCTCATCATCACCGCAATCGTTGATCGCTAGATCGTATCGTCGTCTGAGCTCCGCATCCACTAGTGGCATGCGACGCTCTGGCTGTTGGTCATGTATGCCAACCATTATCTTATGTAGAGTCCGTATGGCCACCGGTGCAGTTTGTTCCAATTTGGATACAAACCGACTCACCAAAACAAAGTAGCCTTGACAGATGTTCTTGTTGCGATGGGTACCCCCGCTGGTGTGGGCTGGCCCGAGCTACTGCCTGGGCTTGCCTCCCCCATTGGGCTGGCTCCCACGTCACCCGTGCCTTCACTACCCTCCCCTCCATCGTATACACTTGTTCTGGTTGCTGTTGGCATTTTCAGAAGTCTGTGCGTATATGTGGGTGGTCGTGAATTATTAATGAAGACTAAGGTTACCTTGTGCGAAAGTGCGCGCTTCACCCCCCGTCTTTAGTAATAATACTTATAAAATAAAAAATTGTATTTGTTTTACTTACTGTTATAGTGTTGTCGATTCGCTGCACTTCCGCTGGAAGTGTTTACCGTGTTGTATGGCCCGGTAGCTTGTTGATTGATTCCCTGTATTTATGAGGGAGAAAAACTGTGTTTAATAATCAAGCTTATTCCGTCATGTGTGACGTCACTTGTTCTTATTCCGTCACGTGAGATTTATTGTCACTAATTTTATTCCGTCATGTGAGAATTATTTTCTCATGTGATTTTAATGAGATGTTCGGTCCTAGTGACGTCACTCTGGAAGATACCGAACTGTGTGTGTACCGAGCTGTGTCCTGTGCCGAACTGTGTCCTGTACCGAACTATGTTCTGTACCAAACTATGTTCTGTACCAAACCGTGTCCTGTACCGAACTGTGTTCTGTACCAAACTTATTAAAAAAACAGTGATGCAATGTCATACACGGTTTATTTGTCCGAGATAACTGAATCGTTTGAGACTGCTCGTGTTGATCGATTTGTTTTGTGATCTGCTGATTGCAATTTGATGGAATGTTCTGAACTTGTCAATACCTTTCTGCTGTTCTTTGTATGTTGTATACTCGGTCAGAATAATGCCCGTTCTTGTAATTGATATTGTGGGTTGGATTGTTCCTTATAACTCTTTTGTTGTGGGTTGGATTGTCCCCTATTACTTTGTGTGTGTTGGTTGATGACTATGTGTTAGTCCCAATTTGTTAGGTGATTTCTTCAATCTGATTTTTCACCTATACTCCAGGATGTTGTGGTTTTGTAGGTTATATTACCGCTAGCCTATATGTGCGTGAGTAATGCTCTGTGTGTCTTATATCTATTGTTTGGTAATTGATTGATGGAGATGGCTATAGAGATGTGATTTCTCTGAGTGATTTCTTCGGGTGATTTGTCCGAAGAGACCGTGGGAAACTGATTCCCGAAGCCTTTGTTTATTGTATGTGGTCTGTGTGTGTAGTGTTACTTCCCTTTCTTATTGCAAGTGTTTCTTGTGTGTGAATCCTATGCGTATGTGCACGTGTTTATTGGTGTGATGTCAATGTCACTAGTGATTTGTCTCGATTTGACTGCTCCCTGCCTATTTCAATTGATCTTGGTAGCTGTTTGTACCCAAGCAGGACTTGGTTGCTGTGTGTATGCCTTGTCTGGTGTGGAGAAGCTCATGTGTTTCTGCGTTCTTGACACTATGTGTGTGTTCGCTTCTGAACAGTTAATTAAGCTGCGTGCCTTAAGACCTATGAATTGACGCTGTTGTTATTTTGTGATTGCTTTTTCTAGAGTAATATTTGTGAAGTTAATTACACAGCCACTGTCTTGTGCTTCTTGTGGGTGAATTGCCCAGCACCTTTAAGACTCTTGTGACTTGTCTGTTATCACCTTTGTTAGATCTGATTTGTCTGTCACTCGTGACGCTTAACTTGTCTTTAAGTGATTTGTAGTGTCTAATTGCAGAAATGTTTACGCATGTTCCTATTAAGTCTTGCACCGTCCTTGGTTGTTAGCAAGCGTGTTGAACCGTAATACTTTTTTATTTGGATGAATGTATCCTTCTTAAGCGAATTGACCTAAGTAAATTGAATTTACATTCCCTTGATTGATCTTCTGTGTACTATTGCTTATTGTACCGAACAGTCTAAACCTCTTATTGGGTTTATGGGCTTATGCCCTGTACTAGTTATTGTTTCTTATACATGGGTGTGCATTCTTCTAGCACTAATTCACTGCTTGTTCTGGTTACTATTTAGTATTGCCTGCTGCGTGTGTTATGGTGTGTGTAACGTGTGCGTGTTGTGCAGGGGTCCTTAATCTCCAAATATTTTCTTGTTCGAAAACTTAGAAAAACCCCAACATTGATGAATTAATGAATGTGACACTTCGTTTGTTTTTCACGCATCTTACGTCACTAAACAGCCTGTCACACCCTGTAACGTGTTCAGCTTACTTCTGAACACGTTTTCTTTACCTGGGTTGTTGTCCCAAGTCTCTTCTTCATCTTGAAGTCTTCTCTAGTCTGCCAAGCTGTTCTTTGTCTCCGGCTGTGACCCTTCTTTCTTCTTAGGTCGTTCCTTCTCCGGTTTCTTCTCAATAAAGCTTGTGTTTGGTGTTAGGTTGTTCTTCGTGACAGAAAATTACTCTATCTATCCTATTACACTTCGTTCAGTGTATGAGGATCCGTGTTGACTTATTGTAAGTAAGGATATTGTAAAAAATGTAGAGTAGGGAGAGTAGCTGAAAGGTACGAGACAATAGGATACAATAGACCTCTTCTCAAGTACGGTTATCTCAGCTAGGAAAGTCCCCAGTCTGAGAGAACCGAACTGAGTCTTTATTTGTGTTTTCACTAGACTCAGGGGCTACTTGAGTGTTTCTCTCACACGCAGGAGTCCAGGTATATCTTACCGGTTCTATCAATAATATTTCTGATGACTCTAATATCAGAAATATTCCAATACTAATTCCAAAACTCAGTATTTGATTATTCTGGGATTTGGGATTTGTATTGGCTTTTTGATAATCTAATCCCCAGATGCGACATCACGAGCAACGAGCACTGATGAATGATCAGCAAGCAACAGAAAGCGCACGAAGCGGGGAACCTAAGCAAGTCTCACTGATACCAAGGGATACTCCCACTTTTCTCACCTTGAAGCATGCTCCACCCACACACCAGAGAGATAAGGACCAAAGACTCGGTTGTAGAGCCACCGTTGGGATGCGTTTTCCTAAGCCAAGTCGAAATCAACCAAGAGCACCGGTCAAGACTGACTCCGATGAGCGTGCTTGTGAACTCCCATCACAGTCCAATTAGTTAATAGGTAATAGGTAAGAATAGATAATGGTGGCAGGTTTTTCATCTTACGCCCCCTAAGAGATACATTTTTCCCTGTACAAAAACACCAACCTCTAAATAATCAGATGTCACTTTCTACTCTTACGCAGACAAAGAAGCATGAAGTTGGAGGGCTGCATGTAGCATCTAGGGACCAGATTACCAAAAAGCCAATTCAAATCCCAAAACTCAGAGTCATCAAATATTGAGTTTTGGAATTAAGAATCATATATTTCTGATATTAGAGTCATTAGAAATAATATCGGTAGGACCGGTAAGCTATAGCAGGACTCCGCATGTGAGAGAAACACTCGAGTAGAAACCAGAGGATAGTGAATGATAAAACACAAATTAACACTCAGTTCGGTGCTCTCAGACTATGGACTTTTCCTAGCTGCGACAACCGTACTTGAGAAGAGGTCTATTGTAACCTTTGGGTCGTACCTTTCAGCTACTCTTCATACTCTGCATGGCTTCTCTGAGTTCTTCCTACTTCTTTTTCAGTTCCGGTATCCATAACATAGATATATTTTAGTTTAGTTTGCCGTTCATTAAGTCACAAAAGTGTGTATTGGTGTGGGAAAGTTGCGGACATGGTCACGCATATAATTTGAACTGATAAACTTTGGTTTATGTCTCGAATTTGTGTATGAACTTGGTTGACTGGTTTAGTCTCCTTGGTTTATGGTTTTCGTGTTTTTTAAAATTTCATGAGTACGAGGTGCCAAAAACTCCTGGGCTTCTGGTTCTTATTTCGTCCTATAGACTTATATTGTGTGATTGTACCGAACTGGTTTTGCATCTATGTTTGTACAGTATACCATGTGTTGCATTTGGTTTGTGTGCTTTCTGTCACTATGTAGTCTGTTATTATTAGCATTGATGTCTTGTTCAAGACCGCCTGTTGTTCTTGTGTACTGTGACGCTTGTGATTATTGTATTGTTATGCCTGTACTTCTATAGTGATTGGCGTTGTAGTTAAATTTAGCTCTTGTACTTTGAGTTATGCTGTACGTTATGTGTGTGGCTTCATGCTTCGTATATGTTTCTGATGTCTATGTTCTTGCGATTGTATATCGTCTTCTTGAACTTGTGTGTCTATGGACTGTTGTGTCTCTGGACTGTGGACTGTGTTCTTGTGATTGTGCTTGTTGATGCCACACTGAGGTGATTACGTACTCTATTGTGGTACTTTGTTGTCCATGGAGTGTGGATCTTGCCTCTTAACCTTGTGTACTATAATAGAGCTGGTGATTGTGGAGTACAATACAAGTTATTTCGTGTAGCGCTTGTGATCGTGGACTGCGACCCAAGTTTGTTTCTTGCTCTTCGATATTGACACATACTTTCTTTATAAATCGTTGCGTTTTGCTGGTCTATGTGATTCTATGTTCTGAATCTAATTTAACCGTTTGAAATCTTGAATGTTTGTGTCCATGAGTTGTGGAGTGTGTTCTCTTAGTCATTACTGTTGTTCACACAACGTTTTTATGTGCACTTTATTCTTGTAAGGTGTGACCCTCGAGTGTGTGCTAGTCTTCCTAGATCTTACTGTGGCCAAACTTAAGCGTGAGGTGTACGCTATTGCTGGATGTCAATGTCCATGGATTGTGGACTGGGTTTTCAATTCTTAGATACGAGTGTATGGCTTGTGGTTGTGAAGTTCAACCCAAGTTACTTGTTCCCACTTTAACTTGAGGATTGTTACTTTGTGGTTTCCTCGTAGTTAGTGGTGATTTGATGGTGTAGGTGATTTTATAGTGTGAATCTGACGATTTCTTTGGTGTTTCTAAGCACGTTCGTGTGTGGTTATTTCATTATCTTTGTTAGTTTCTGTGCTTGTTGGACACTGGTCCTCTTTAAGTATCTGTATTCTGCCTTATGATATTTCTCTTGGTATGAGATCGCACAATTTCTCCTCTGAGATGTTCAATTAGATGCTCACCATGTATGTGTGTGTCACCTGTTTGCTTGTTTCGTACGAGTGGTTCTTTTATTGGCTTGACGCGTTTTGTGTGTTTAATTCGTGTAGTAATTTT